ATATGTATATATATATTGCCTTTAAATGATTTAATTTTCAATTATTTATTGGATTAATTAAATTATTGTATGGATGTCCATTGGTATTACTTATTTTTTCATTTACTTTAAATAACTTATTCTTGTTTTGACCAATGCTAAATAAATTAATATGGATATACACCAAATGTATAATAGTTAATCTATTTGTATTAAACTTGGATATTTTGCCACTCCTGTGGCCTTCGTCAGTGAAAGATTTCTCTATCAAAACATCAATGAAGGCCACAGGAGTATCAGGATCTGGGAATTGATATGAATAAATTAAGGCTATTGAAATTTTCCTTTGGAATTGCTTATTTATATGAATATGAATATTATATCAATATATGCATATCTCTGATAGGTTTATAGTTGTCATTATGTACATTGGGTCAATAAATTGTGAAAAAGTGAAATTAATCTACCATATCTGATATATATTTGGATATGTATCTGTACAGCATATAATATATTATTTGCAATGTCATTCCTGTAATTGATATAGGACCAAGAGTTCAGTCGACTAATTTGAAAATTGTTTCCGAAAGTATTGCTGATATAATGACAGCTGACAGATACTTATATTTTCAGTTTCTCATACGATATACTGTCATCAATCATATTGAAGTTACATTTTGATAGTACAGTACTGTCATTCAAAAATTTTGCTAATGTATCACAATAAAACGATTTATCGATGTTTTTTTTTAAATAAATTAAATATCCATCTTTAGTTCCTTACAGTTTTTATATTTTAATACAAATCAAAATCAATCAGCAGTGATTGATAAAGTGCCACTACCCACGGCAGATGTTCAGTGGCACGATGACATACAGTACTGTACAGTAGGTGTCCCATGTAAAGCCACTTTCTTTAACATATCTAAAATGTTGCTGCACATGTTGATATATTTATTTTATTTATTTATTCATTTTATTTAAACGCAAAGGTTGCTTTACCAATGTTCGTGTATATGCAAACAGGGAGACTTTGGAATTTTAAAAAACGATAACGTTTACGAATACGTCATCATTATCGTCATTCGTGCCTAAAACATTCTTGAGAATATGCTATGAGCTGAATATGATCCTTTATTCATGCAAAAGGCATGAATTGCCTACGTTTTGATAAAGTAGCTGTATTCGTTATTGTTTTCATGAGCTTGCGAAAACTCCCTATTAACATACAACATTACTGTACAATTTCGATCATCACTAGCTGATTTCTTGCAGCCAATTGATAATACAGTTTGTGGGATAAGCGTTAATTTTTAGTAGAACTTTATATAGTTTCATGCGGGTGTTCGGGAGGCTGTCTAGAGTTCTGTTAAACTACTGCAACTCATGGGAAAATTGGGACCCCTTCATTATAGAATATTGTGCTAATCGTCATTTGAAAAGAACTGTCATTGATCATAATAAAAACTTTTTAATTTTTTTTTTTTTTTTTGCTTTTTTAGGTTGCAATAAAATCTATTCCAAAGAACAAAATTGAGAATGAGGAAGATTTGAAACGAATCAAACAAGAGATTGAGATCATGAGAATGCTGGACCATCCTCATATTATTCATGTTATTGATGGTAAGTTGCATGATGGGAAGTGAAGTGAAACATGAGCTGAGTATTTAAAAAAATTACAGTATAAATGCCTTCTCAATTAGTAAGTATACTGTAGGAAAAAAAATGGTAATGAATGATTCAGAATTTAAATAATTCATAATACATGTTACACAAAAAAAACCAAAAAAAAAACCTTAGAACTGCTAAGGAAGTTAGAAATCAATAGAACAGACTACTGCAGAGGAACTATCACCATTGCATCAAATTCCTGGTTTTTAACCATCAATACTAAGAATAATTGATATTTCCATCACTTGACGCCATTAAGGAATTGGAGAAAGGTGGCCGTTGGTACACACTTTCGTGCAAGAACTTCTGAACTATGTTTAGAACACAATTATATTAAACAACTTGCTTGACCTGGATATTGATTTCAGTAGGTTTTAACTAGAGGGCATATATTTTACTGCTCTTATTCTAAGTATTATATTTTGAGGAATGTTTCTCTTGGCCATTTTTATGCAGATGTTAAGATCAAGTTATTTTTGTTTCATTCTGTGTGGCACAGATTGAATATTATTTTCTTTCAACAAAATACATGACACTGTCTTCAGGGCATTTGATATTTTTTAATTATTGTCAAAATATGCCGAGGCAATTCGGCCATCTATTTATGGTCCTACCGGAACTAATTTACCAGGCATCGTATTGATAGGGTTCAACACCAGCAGGTGGAGAGCTTTAATTAGTAAGTATACTGGTAGAAAAAAAAATGGTAATGAATGATTCAGAATTTGAATAATTCATAATACATGTTACACAAAAAAACAAAAAAAATTCTTAGAACTGCTAAGGAAGTTAGAAATCAATAGAACAGACTACTGCAGAGGAACCATCACCATTGCATCAAATTCCTGGTTTTTAACCATCAATACTAAGAATAATTGATATTTCCATCACTTGACGCCATTAAGGAATTGGAGAAAGGTGGCCGTTCGTACACAATTTCGTGCAAGAACTTCTGAACTATATTTAGAACACAATTATATTAAACAACTTGCTTGACCTGGATATTGATTTCAGTAGGTTTTAACTAGAGGGCATATATTTTACTGATCTTATTCTAAGTATTATATTTTGAGGAATGTTTCTCTTGGCCATTTTTATGCAGATGTTAAGATCAAGTTATTTTTGTTTCATTCTGTGTGGCACAGATTGAATATTATTTTCTTTCAACAAAATACATGACACTGTCTTCAGGGCATTTGATATTTTTTAATTATTGTCAAAATATGCCGAGGCAATTCGGCCATCTATTTATGGTCCTACCGGAACTAATTTACCAGGCATCGTATTGATAGGGTTCAACACCAGCAGGTGGAGAGCTTTAGTTGTGCGATTCTCCGATGACATATGGCCCGTAGGTGAAGACACGCAAGTGGCAAAAAAATTCTACTGTTCCATCTCACATGCAAGATGTACCTGAATGTTGGCATCTACTTTTAAGTTTGATTTTTATTAAAAGTGCGAGGAGTTAACAAGGTAGAAATTAGCCAAGAATTTTTCAGTGTGCTAAATTGGCATTGACATTTTAGTATATTGAACTTACTTCATACAGGAGCTTTATGTCTAGGATTGTGGATATGATGTGACCTTGAGTAGGGCACTGGAGGTCATACTTTGTGGTGTGAAAAGGAAATTGCTAAGATTACCTAATTATAACCCTTTGTCAGATGTTGTTATGTGGTCTCCTTGTTGATATTGAGTGAGTTGGCTATTAACATAATTGATCCTACTAGCATACAGGTGAATATGGGTGAATTAAAGGCCAAGTAAAAAAAAAAATTAGTTTTTCTTCCTATTATTTGGAAGAAATGAGTATGAGGGAACTTTCTTTTTATTTTTTTGTTTTACTCCAAATCCAAGATATGATGGATAAGAAACAGCAATACTTTGTCACATTTACCAAGTAGACACATTGAAAGCAAATAAAAGAAACACTGGACATGATTCATACCTGGTATGTAACCCCAACCACAAATGATCTGAGAGAGGAATTTTACTGATGTGAGTTAGCCAGATTTTCGTACATTTGGTAAAATAAAGGAAATAATAATAAAAAAATTGGTTAGAAAATGGAGGCGTGAGTAGATGAGAAACTAGTAGTTTTTTTTTTTAATTGGCCTAAGCATAGATGTATGATATAAACTACAGTATGATATAAACTACAGTATGACTGTTCTTATGAATTTAATTTAAATTTGGTGCAAGTGAATATGTGTGAATGATGTAGATTTGATTAAGTTTAATTTTCTGTAACAAATATAATTCCTTACTGTATGATGCATTTATAAAAGCTATGTTATTAATAAATTAATACTTTTAACTCTGCTCTAACCAAATACAGTAATAGTAATCATCATATAGAATATACAAATTATTTAATTATTATAAAGTACACTGTTTTTTCTGAATGTAGTTATTGAAGTTGAATGAAAACCATATTTTTGCCAAGTAAGTTTAGTTAACAAACAGCATACCACAGTATGGTGGGATTACCTGTTAATTGAAGCTTCTAAATATCAGTTTCATAGCAAAAAAAAAAAAAAAAAGATTTGAACTGCTAACCCCAACCCTAACCCTAACCCTAAGTCTAACCCTAACCCTAACTCTAACCCTAACACCTGTCTCTTATACACATCTTAAAAGAAACACTGGACATGATTCATACCTGGTATGTAACCCCAACCACAAATGATCTGAGAGAGGAATTTTACTGATGTGAGTTAGCCAGATTTTCGTACATTTGGTAAAATAAAGGAAATAATAATAAAAAAATTGGTTAGAAAATGGAGGCGTGAGTAGATGAGAAACTAGTAGTTTTTTTTTTTAATTGGCCTAAGCATAGATGTATGATATAAACTACAGTATGATATAAACTACAGTATGACTGTTCTTATGAATTTAATTTAAATTTGGTGCAAGTGAATATGTGTGAATGATATAGATTTGATTAAGTTTAATTTTCTGTAACAAATATAATTCCTTACTGTATGATGTATTTATAAAAGCTATGTTATTAATAAATTAATACTTTTAACTCTGCTCTAACCAAATACAGTAATAGTAATCATCATATAGAATATACAAATTATTTAATTATTATAAAGTACGCTGTTTTTTCTGAATGTAGTTATTGAAGTTGAATGAAAACCATATTTTTGCCAAGTAAGTTTAGTTAACAAACAGCATACCACAATATGATGGGATTACCTGTTAATTCAAGCTTCTAAATATCAGTTTCATAGCAAAAAAAAAAAAAGATTTGAACTGTAGACAACAAGTGTGGTCCTAAGTTCCAGATACGAGTAGACCTATATTTATCAGTTATTGCAGTAACACGTTGGGTGGGAATACTTTACTCAATTAACATTAACACTTCTGTTTATTTCAATGGGTATTGCCAAGTCTCTTTTATTTAGAAGTGTTTCAAGTGAACTAATAATTGATATAATGATCTGTGATTGATTTAAGTTTATAATATCTATTAAAAGATAAAAAATAATTTATTTTTGAGCATTTATTGAAATTAAATTGATTAAGTAGTATAAAGTAATTGAATAAATGTTAGTCATGAGAGGTTGTGGGTCTTTTTTGTCATTTCCTATCACATTTGTGAACCACCTCAGTTCAGAAAGCAATTCAGAAAGAAACTATTCTGGATCCAATTAATACAACCAGATATGTAGAGGATTAAAACAACTTCCCATGATATACAAATATACACTAGCTAATTAGTGAAGAAACCCAAGTGCTGACAAGTGCTGAGTACAAGTTCTAAGTAAATAGTGTAAAACAGACCAGTACTACAGTACTATTGTACTTAAAATGTATCCCATTACTGGCCTTTGTCTTATTTAAAAACGTTTTGATGAAATAGTTTTGGTCAAGGATTGTTACTGCTGAAGGCATTCTAGTTTTAATAATCTCAGTGGTCAATAGAAATTTGGACTTATTTTTTAGCCCTTTTCTAATAATGAAGAAAAAATATAATAATTAATATTTAACATACTAACATAGACAGGCCTTACAGACAGTTGTTGTTATGAAAAAACATTTTCTAGTTATTGTTAATGTTCTCTTTGTTGTCAAATATTGTATTATCTTTTGTAAAAAAGGTTGTTATAGGATATTATTACACAAATACTCCTAAGAAGATAAATTAATGGTAATAAATACAATATACATTAGGTTTATTTAATGTTATTTAAATGTTTATTTTTACATGTGAGATCCAGATGTATCATTCAAGATCATTTGCTATGAATTATAGCAGTATTGGCTTGATTAATTGTGATAACAGCTTCTAACACTAATTCATGGCCCCTCCCAGCGAGTATCAGTTGCATGCGGCTCAGGCCATAAGAGTTTACAGTACAGTAGTTGTGAGCTCAATGTTTTTGTCTACCACACAGGGCTTGGGACCAGACCGACACCGATTACAGCCAACAGAGATTGATTTCACTGTAGTTTGAAAACAATACTTACTATGAGGCCATTGGCAAACAAAGAAGTAACATGTTGGTAACATGAGTTGGCCTAGTTGGCAATAACGTGGTGAGAGGGAGACCCCCATGTGTATTAAAATAATAATCTTTGATAGATATTTTAAAACAATGGTTCATCTCTGAGTTTGAACATTCTGTTGGTAGCTTGTTCGTCCAAGGACTTTAGTTGTTTGTTTCAGAAGTTAAGGGCGTTTGAACATTAGATTTTTTTGTCTACTATTTGTTGAAACAAAAGCACCATACAAGTGCTACAGTTGGGGTATTGGTCTCCTGGGGGCTTCATGCAATGACCCATTAGGTTCTACTGTATTGTAATAATAAGACCAAAAGTTGACCATACAGTAATTGTGGTTGTCATTAGTTTTTAAGTAGGCTATTTGAATCTAGGTGCCACATGTCACTTTTAATAGTATTGTACCTTCCACCTGACATTTTATGAGTCCTAAATTGTCA